CAGGGGCTTGATCCCTCAATCGGGGACCCCAGAGAGGAAGGAGGCAAGGGGGGGATTTAGGCACTCCAGTCTGATCACCTCCAACTCTTACCAGGGCTTGGTACTGGGGTTCGGGGCCCGAGGCCCGTATGCTCTGTTTTCCCATTTCTCTGTGCCTTCTCCCCAGCACCTCCTGACGCCGGATCCCATGTGTGGGCCACACCTCGTAGCTTCTCTAGGGAACCACAGACCCACCTTGGCTGTGGCCACTGCCCTTCTCTCCGCATGGAACATTCCGGCTACAGCACTGAGAGTGTAAATATGGTCTTTATAGAGGCGAGGTCGGGCACCCGCTCCACTCTGAGCCGAGGTGCTGCCGAGTTATTGTTGGCCTGGAGCTCCAGGCAGAGCTGCCCTCTCAGAAGCAGAGCCAAGTCAAACACCTCCTGGGCACCCTGCACTCTTCCAGAGGAGCGCTGTGCCCAGTGCGCACTGACATTTAGCTTCATTGACAAAAAGGCCTCCGTTCATTTCAACCTATCTCCATGGCTTTCCCCACTGAAATTCTGACTTAAAATATGCCTTGTGAAACACATCTATTAGTAAATAATCTGATCTTTAGTCTTAGACATTCAAACGCAAATATAATGTGTGTGTGTGGGGGAAGAGTGGGATGAACAACTTAGGGAAAAAGAGAGAATCCTCACAGCTCTTGTGTCTGTGGTCCTCAGGACAGCCAGGTTCTGTCTCGTTTTACAAAAGAAGAAACTGCAGCTCAGTGAGGGACCTGCCCAAGGTCTCACTGTGAGTGACTGAAGCCACCAAAGTCTGACCCAGGGCTCCGAGGCTCCTGAGTTCAGAGTCCTCCCCTAGGGACGGGCTTCAACGTGGATCCCACCCAGGACGCCTGGCCCGGCCCTCCGCACCGCCTTACTCATGTGTACAGTCGTAGATCTCTCATCGGTTATGTACATGCAACAGTTACAATTTGTCATTGCATTACTTCTGTGTTACAGTTACAGATCTGCCATGGCTTTCTTTATATGTTACAGCTGTAGATTTGTCATGGCCTTATTTATAGTCTGCAGTTGTAGATTTCTCACCAAAGCAGGATGTTTTGACTCAGCCATTTTAATGAAGCCACGCGATAATCTTACTGCTGCCATTTTCTGCTACTTGATTATTTTACTGCTGCCAAGTTTTCAACGCAAACTATTTTTCTGAATTTCATCCATCACTTACGTTTCGGACCGCTGGTGCCTTTAATGCATGAGAAGGGAATTTATTTGAAAGGAGATTAGATAGAGTCCTACTAAGGGTGTCTGAGGGAAAACCATTCGGATATGCAATTCTTAGTAGAAGCTGATGGGTCCTGAGGGTCACACAAAGTACATGTAGGGGACATCTAGGGATTTATTTTTATTTTTATTTTTTTGAGAAGTTTTGGCTATAGGGTGCGTGTGCTCACCAGAAAGAGAGACAGAGAGACAGAAAGTGAAAAATCAGCCCCCAGGGGGGATGATCACGCTGCAATCCCTTCTCCTCCATTCTCCTCTTGGGATCTTGGGCACGCACGCACATGCGCCTGGCGTGAGTTTAAGTCACTGGGTCTGGGACTCGAACCATGGTCGACTACATGGGAGTCCAGTGACATAGCCATTATGCTAACTGCTGGTCCCCATGTGGGGATTTTTTTGTAAAAAAAAAAAAGATGCTAAATACTTGTATGCCTTTTTTTTTTTTCTTTAAACAGACAGGGTCTTGCCATGTTGTGAGCCTCTTGCTCAAGTCCCCCAGTATGGATTACAGGGTTTGGGTTGGACTGGGAATTGAACTGGGCCTCCCATGTGGTCCCAACCTGAGAAGCACAGCATCTTAGCAGTGCACAGCACCATGGCTGGGTGACTTCTGGACTATTTTAGTCTGACTCTATGAGTCTGGAAAGTCTTAAAGAATGACCAGATTTTCCCTAGGAAGAAAAAGAGAAAGTTTTGTATTGTAAAAAGCACTGAACCAATCATCAATAAAGATTTAAAAGGTTTTAACACCTTGAAAGGAGAGCTGTACATCTTGAATTTTAGCCTGGCTGACTGGCAAAGACAAAAGACGGGGCCAGGGACACAGCAGCCTGGACTCCCTACCTTGGAGCTCGCTCTGGCTGGGGAGAAGGAAGAGGTGCCTTAGCGTGTGGGCTCCTGGCCACTCAGACCACCGGGCACACGCACTGCCTCTGTCCCTGACAGCCGTGTGACTTCGGGGTGTCCCCTCACATTCCTGTGCTTGTTTCCCTCATCTGTAAAATGGGGACACGACGACCTCCCTTGTAGGAGAGTCGGGAGGACTGGCTGTGGAAGTCAGGGTAGGACATGAACGGGGCCAGGCACACAGGAAAGGCTTAGTACGCGTCCATTACTGCTACTTTACCATGATCACTCTGCCCCAGTCGGGACTCTCTGGAACTGAGAGCTCAAACCTGGGTCTTGGGGGTCCATCTGCCTCCTGAAATTGTACATGGGATCATGTGGATCTATGCATTTTTCTGAATAGAGGGTCTCGAGCTTTTGCCAAATTCTTCTTATTTAACTTTCCAGAGGCGCATGTGCTCGCCACCAGAGAGACAGAGAGGGAGGGAAAGCGAGACAGTCCCTCCCTGCAGAATGGCCACGCCACAATCCTTTCACCTCCATTTCTCCCTCCTTTTGGGATTTTGTGCATGGACACACATGGTGAGCTTCTCAAGCCACAGGGTCTGCATTCAAACCTTATAGTCAGCCACATGGGATCCAGCTGTCTTAACAGCTCCACGGGCTGGCCCTTGGCTAATTCTTTAAGGGACTTATAACCCCAAAACTTTTTTTTTTTCTATAGGGCATGTGCACTCACCAGAGAGAGAGGGAGAGAAGAAAATGATAAATCACCTCCTAGAGGGGGCGGCCACACCGCAATCCCACCTCCTCCATTTTCCTCTCCCGATTTTGGGCACACATGCACATGTGCATGTCGTGGTTCTCAAACTGCTGGGTCCAGGACTCACACTGCAAAGGCCATGTGAGACCCAGGGTCTTAATCTCCATGCCACCTGCTGGCCCTGACCCTTAAACATTTTTAAATACTGGGCTTTAAGAAGAAAGAAAGAAAAAAAAAAAAAAGCCTTCCATGGAAATGCCAAAAGTAAAGCTGAAATCACAGATGGCCGGTGCTGCACCTGCTGCTTGGAGTGGGGAGTTCGGGGCCCCGCTCCATCCCTTGTGGGGACTAGGTCTGGAGAGAAGGTAAATGGGTGAGCAGCCTCTCTCTGGGGGATGAAGAAAGTGATAACTGTCAGCCCTTCTCCTGGTGCTACGGGGCCCCAGGACGGCCTGCCAGGATGTGCAGCGAAGCCCAAATGCCAGGCCCTTCCTGTGCACCTTCCCCGTGGGCTCTGAGCCCACGCAGCAGCCGGGGACCTCTGACCTCCACGGAAAGGCTGAGTACACACACACAGAGAATGCAGGCTGATGGGCTGGTGAGGTCAGCTCCCCGCCCTGGGCTTAGGAGCACCCCCAGAATGCCCTGGGGCTGGGACATAATAGATAGTTGTTGACTAAACGTAGGAGTTAATGGAAGGAACTAGATGGAATCTTTTAGCAGTTTCGATCTTAACAATTTTTGACCTGCAGAATATTTTTTTTTAAGATTTTGGGCATGCATGCACACACACCCTGCATGATTTTTTTTTTTTTTGAGAGATTTTCGCTATAGGGCGCGTGCGCTCGCCAGACAGACAGAGAGAGACATAGAGACAGAAAGCGAGAAATCACCCCCCAGGGGGGATGGTCACGCCGCAATCCCTTCTCCTCCATTCTCCTCTCGGGATCATGGGCACGCACGCACACGCGCCTGGCGTGAGTTTTAAGCCACTGGGTCCGGGACGTGAACCGCGGTCGACTACGTGGGAGTCCAGCGACATAGCCATTACGCTAACTGCTGGTTCCCACCTGCAGAATATTTTGAAGAGACTGAAGCAAAATGGTGATTTTATTTTAAAATACGAGGTTGAATGGCTAGGTCTTGCACACTTCCTGAAAGTTCCTCAGATTATGGAAGGCCTCAGCGCGTCTGGACCTTGCTGACGACTGACTGATGTGGGGGCATAGGAAAGCACTAGGGGACGGAGGGGCAATGGAGCAGTGCCGAGAGACCCACGGCAGCCCTTCCAGTCCCCAGTGACACTCCCCTCTGACCAGGCTTCCCAAGCTCTGTGATGCCAGGAGCCACGGCTCGGGATGTGTCCCGGGCACCACTCTAAAGTTCAGGGACCTGTGGGCCCTCAGGGAGCACCCTTCAGAACATATAGAGATTGGCCTGGAAAGGGCCTGGTGGACACCTGGGTACAGTGGGAATACCCAGGAATACCCAGAAGTCTCTGGCTGTGTAGACAACATCTGGGCAGGGTCTGGGCCCCCATGACTCCATGGAAGAAGTTCATTTCCTAAAAACTGCAGCTTTGTCATGGAGCACCGCCCCAGGAGGGTGGACGTGGGGTCAGAAGGGAGGTGCAGGGTGTGCCCCCACTCTCAGGAAGAGCAGCCTGGAGTGGGTCGCAGAGCCTGCGTGGTGCTGGGGGGTTACCACGCAGAGCAGGCACGGGTCTCTTTGTTCCAATGTAACTAATAAGAAATCCCTCAGGAACATCCACACAAATAGCCTCAGTAATCTGGACAGCCCTGAATGAGGCGGACGTGGTCTCCTTTCTGTAACTGAGGGAAACTGGGGACTAAGAGGCTCGAGGAAGCTTGCCCCAGGTCACGCCATGTGAGAGCCTGCGTGCAAAGAGGGCGGGCTTGGGTTCTGACCCCCAGCCTGGGCTCTTTTCTTTAGATCACATTATTTCCCAAATTTACAAGACAAAAACTGGTCCCTTCAAACCACAGGCCTGCGGCTTCAAGCTGGACCCTGCCGGAAGTTGTGCCTGCGTGGGTACAGCCAGGGTACAACCCAGTGGCAGGCCAGTCTGTGACATGTGCATGTCTGTGCTCCAGGCCCCTGGAGGGACTGCCTGCAGGCCTTGGAGGACGGCCATGACACCAGCTCCATCTACCTGGTGAAGCCGGAGAACACCAACCGCCTCATGCAGGTGTGGTGTGACCAGAGGCACGACCCCGGGGGCTGGACTGTCATCCAGAGGCGCCTGGACGGCTCTGTCAACTTCTTCAGGAACTGGGAGACGTACAAGGTAAGAGCCGGCAGGGCCTGGCTCCTACATGGGCCTTCTGGGGGCTACTCCCGGGGCCTGGGAGCCTCAGGACTCACTCCTCATGGGCATCAAGAACAGATGCTCCTTGAGGGAGACCACAGCTGGGAGTAAGATGCTCCCCATAACTGGCTGGAGTGACCCCTCCACCTGAATGGCTTGGGTACCAATTTCAGGGTCTGGCCCTGGGCTCCCTGATTCTGATTCGAAGGGAATTGAAATGCTCTTTCTTGTTGAGGAGGGCCACTAGGCTTGGTCGTAACTTTCTCTGACTCCTCTAAACAGAGGGTGGGAGGGCGGCTCTGGTCACTGAGCACGGCCATGTGCCGGGCAGCACACAGAGCTTTCGGCATCGCCCCGTTGAACCTCGTGAACACCATGAGTGGGATGCTGGTATCGACCCAGCGTACAGGTGGAGGGTAGAGAGATTGGCTCAGGGCTGCAGTCAGGAAGTGGCAGAGTGACTGCAGCTAGGCTCTGACCCCACGTCCAGAAGCCATCTCAGCCCCGGAGCCTGCTGTACATGTCTCAGTGGTGCCTCCTTCTCAGGTACCCTCTGTCCTCGTCGTCCCCAGCTCACCTCATGAGCCTACCTCGGATGGGCTGTGTCTCTGCCGTCTGCTCCTCTTCCTCCACTTCCTAATTTAGAGGTCCTGAAGACACACTCCCTGACTCACCCTCTCCCTTAGAGGCAGGACAGTACAGATCCAGACTAGGTTCTTGGTTCAACTCCCGGTTCACCCACAGGCACTTTTGACCCTGGGTCTCTGGGCCTCGGTTCACCCATTCTAGGGGGTGACAGTAACACAGGTGGCCTTCGAAAAGTTCGTGCAAGTGCAAATTATGGGAAAAACTATGCATAGGGTTTCTAGGTTTCTAGGTTTCAACCATAAGTCATAGCCCACACCTCTCTAGTGCATCAGTGCTCACACGTGACCCTCACACATGACCCAGCTCACCCCAGATGGAAATGAGTTCAGGAAAGGTCAGGGACTTCAAGGAATGCCCATTGTGTTCCTGGGTGCCAGGCCCTCAGTTTACACCATCACGCATGTTCCCTGCAGGAAGAGCCCTGTGGGGAAGGTTCTGCAGCACCCCCGGGACAGTGAGGACTGGGGCCCACACGGGTGCCTGCACAGAGTAGGCCCTCTCTACGTGACTGAGGCTCAGAAAGAGGGCGTGACCCTTCCCCAGACTGCTGAGTGGGGTGGGCTTCGAGCCCAGGCTGCATCAAGCTCCGCTTGTCCCGGCCCTCCCTTCCGCGAGGCTGTGTCCACGGCCCATCCCGCTGGCTCTGCGCTGACCCTCTTCGCCTCCCCAGCAAGGGTTCGGGAACATCGACGGCGAGTACTGGCTGGGCCTGGAGAACATATACTGGCTGACGAACCAAGGCAACTACAAGCTGCTGGTGACCATGGAGGACTGGTCGGGCCGCAAGGTCTTTGCAGAGTACGCCAGCTTCCGCCTGGAGCCCGAGAGCGAGTACTACAAGCTGCGGCTGGGGCGCTACCACGGCAACGCGGGCGACTCCTTCACCTGGCACAATGGCAAGCAGTTCACCACCCTGGACAGAGACCATGACGTCTACACAGGTGGGCGAACCCAGTCAAACTAGGAGTCGGGCAGGGGAAAGAGGGCAAAGTGTGAGCCCGTGACTCCAGGGCTTGAGGACAGGAAGTGCTGCCCGATCTGTACCCATCCCTGGTAGTCCCCTCCTCTGCCCCCTGCCCACAGACCCTTCACAAAGCTGGGTCGGAGTGGCATGTACAAGAGGGAAAGGAGAGGGACTACGAAACACACAGACAAGTGCCCCGGGGCCAGGGTGGGTGGATGTGCTGGGCTGTGCCCTCATCATCTGTACATCTGAGGGCCCCGGAGTCAGAGCCACAGGTCCCCAAGGGCTCTGGGCCAGGCCCCCTGGGTCCCAGTGCTGGCCCACACCTGCCAGCCTGTGCCCCCCTCAGGCTGCCTCGCCTCATCTTCGCTCTCTGTTTGCACGTGTGGATGTGAGCGCCTACCCTGCGGGGCATGGGAGCAGATAGAGACGCTGCCTTGGGTGCTTGGGCTATGACCTGGCACACAGCCAGGGCCGGCACACGCGGCCTCTCCCCCGGGCAGTGCCGTGAGCACAGGATGGCAGTGCAGTGTGGGAAGGAAGCTGTTCGGAGGAAACCCAACAGGAGAGATCTGTCCAGATCACGTGCCTCAAATCCAGGCCTTTCCCTTGAAGTCTTTACAAATAAAACACAAGGAGGGAACGACCAGATGCACGGATGGTCCAGCTCCGAGTGTGGACAGCCAACTGCTCAGTTATGGCTCCCGAGGCCCCATACCCCATTTCTCGAGATGAGGCCCCTGGTGCCTGAGAGGTTGGGAAGGTCAGCAAAGCCGGGTTCCCGGAGGCTGGCCCCACCTGATGGCATCAGCAGTCGATGCCACCTCCGGGCCGGGCCAAGGCCGAGTCTGCTCTGGTGGGCGAGCTCGGCTGCTCCTGCCCAGTCTGAAGCTCCCCGTCCCCCGAGCAAGCTCTGAGGACTGCCCCAGAATCGGCAAGCCCTGGTTCCTCCACACTGAGGTGGGGAGGTCTCACTCCAAGTCCTGTGATGTGAGCTGCCCTCCCCAGGCCTAGCCAGGGAACTGGGGATCGCTCTAGCCCAGAGCACCCTGGCCGCGGCAGCGCCCTGGCCCTCTGCTGTGGCCGACAGCGCCTCGCCCACACTTGGTACTGCTTGTCCTTGGCAGCAAGGTTCAGCGTGTTCTGATAATGCCAAGTTCCATGGAAATACCTGCCTTTTGTGAAATAATACGAACATTACTTGGATGGGCTGCAGGCTGGGGAGGAACGGGAGGGCATTTCATCTTAAACACTTTTCCGTCATGTTATAAAGATTCCTGACCCAACAGCTTCAACTCTTAAACAGTCCTCAGAAAACTCCCCCTCTCCTCAAACCATCGCTGCCATTCCGGTTCCTGTTGGAACTGGTGGTGTTGGAACCCCACGGGGGCCTCCCCTGGCAGCCCCTTTAATCGTCAGTCCCGTGGGGTGGCATTATTCCCCTCAGTTTACAGATGAGAATAAATGCCTGGGAGAGGCTAGGCTGCTTGTCTGGGGTCACACAGTGGCTAGCTGTAGAGCCAAGCTGGAAAGCAGGTCTGAGCAGCTCTGAGCGTGGCCTCGGACCCCTCCCCGAGCCTGACCCACAGAGAGAGGGGTCTGCTCAAGGCCCCATGAAACTGTGGGCCCGGGAAAACGGCCTCCTGACGCCCTCTCTCCTGCAGGAAACTGTGCCCACTACCAGAAGGGAGGCTGGTGGTACAACGCCTGCGCCCACTCCAACCTCAACGGGGTCTGGTACCGCGGGGGCCACTACCGTAGCCGCTACCAGGACGGCGTCTACTGGGCTGAGTTCCGAGGAGGCTCCTACTCGCTCAAGAAGGTGGTGATGATGATCCGGCCCAACCCCAACACCTTCCACTAAGCCGCGGCTGCCTGACCTCCCGAGGCGGGGCCCGCCCCGGCCACACTGTGGGCGCGACGAGCAGCTCCAGCCGGCTCGACCTGGGGCTGGGAGGACTAAGACGCTGGCTCCTGTTTTCCTGAGTCCCAGTGGCGGACAACAGAGCTGAACCAAGACAGTGTTCTCGGTCCCGCCTGCTCTTCTTCCCCCCAGGCCGCCCCCCCAGGTCTCCAGGACAAGACTGCAGACAAAGCTTTCTTTACATACGTTGAGTCCCTCCGATAAAAGCAACAGCAAGATACCTTCCTGACATATGTGTGTAGGAGCCTCCCTTACACACGTGTGTGCACAGCCCCTAGGCGTGCATTCGGGTTGTCACGTGACAGGACTAGATACCCCGAGAGGCCAGCCTTACTCCCCTAAGTGCACACGGACTCCATCTCAGATGCCTGAGCTGCCGGACAGCGCTGCTTAGGGAAGAGGATTTCCTTAACGTTGTGCTACTTGAGCCCAAGGGCGGATCACAGACTGTGGAGCCTGGTCTAAGAACACGACTTGGCACCTGTGAACCTGGCCAGTCTACAGTGCCAGTCTCTCAGAGGGGTTCCCAGCACCCTTCCTTAAAAACCCCTTCAGGTACTAATCGGATTTCAAAATCCCCTCCCTCTCCACTTGTGCTCTTTCCCCCATTCTCAGGACTGTCCGCCGCTCACCTACCTACCTGTTGGTTCCTCCGGCACCCCCGCAGGTGCCATCCGGACTGGCCTCTGGCCACTCCTGTCGTTCAAGGCCCCTCGCCCGCCTACTGCTGCCTTTCTGTCCCACAGACTTTTCTTTCCAGGCCAGACTCATCAGCCTCCGGGTGGGAACTAGGAAAGGGAAGGCCAGGCCACAGGCTACACCGGCATGCAGATGATGCACTCACATCTCGTATCTCCCACTCGTACGCTAGCCTCATGTCATTTTAACCTTCACACAAATAATAACCTACATCGCCAGGAGACATTAGGTGGAAGAGGAGTCACCAGCGGATCGCCAGGGCCCCCACGTGGCTCCAGACCAAGATCGCATGCTCTCGGTCCCCTTGAGTCTGCCTCTCACCCCAGACCACACATCCCTGCGGAACAGGTGTCCCAGAACGAGAACTGGCCACGTTGCATGAGTTACTGAGCAATCCGGGGCTAGAGGACCTGCAGTGGGTGTGCTGCCTTGCAGCACGGTGGTTTTCCGTGTCCTGTCGGCCACCAAGCGTCAGACTCAACGCTACCAGGACTATGGCCAAGCAAGGAACAGGAGACGAGCCAGGAAGGTGAGAGCCTCCCCAGTGGCACGAGGGTCGGGGCGTGCGAGGTGTTGGCCGTGGGTACTGTCCGTGTCTGGGCGCGTGCCTATTACCTCAGCATTTCTCACAAAGTGTACCATGTAGCATGTTCTGTGTACATAAAAGGGAGGGTTTTCCTTAATATATTCCCAGATTATCCTTGTAATGCCACAACTCTGCAATAAAGCCGTCAGCGCGATCGGCTGTGTCTACACTGAGTGTCACCGGTTCAGC